GGTACATCCAGAAACTGGGGGAATTTGTGTACAGTATAAGGGGATTATGAGTCAGGCTGAGGGGAGGAGATCTGTGGGAGGTTACTACTGCCAGATTGGATACTGTAGTAATTAATGGAAATCCCTCCCTTGCATGGGAGCATGCTTTATAAGGCCACTTTGAAATAAAGGTTTTTTTTGCTCTGCTCCTGATGCTGTGTGTCGTCTAGTTATTGGGATTGCTGTTGGGATATTGCAGGATTATTTTACCTGCTGGAAACCTTGCTTTATGGATTTATAATTACTTGTTCCTGAGCCTCACTGGGATCTTAACAGGTTATCTGTTAAAGGAGATAACCTGTGGAATACTGGATCTCCGCTACATTGGTTGGCACTGGGATCCAGACTCACAGAGGAACAAGCACCAATGGAGTACGGATGGAGATTGATTTTTCTACACTAAAACGCTCCACACTAAAGGACCTCCTAGAAGCAAGGGGTATTCAAGCCAGCAACAAAAAGAAAGCGGTACTTATTACCGAACTCATGGCAGAATACCGAATGGATGGCGGTTCGGTTCCCGAACAGGGGGATTCGCGGAAAGACAGGAACAAATGGAGTTCCAGAGACAGTTACAATTTAGGCTGTCTTTTTATGGAGAGCACCCTCCAGCGGAAATTATTTCCAAGACCATGACAGAGATCCAGGAATTCATACTAAGGCAACGGACAACAACAAACCCAGAACGCAACCCTGCAGTACACACAACACAGGAAGGTAAGCCTAAAATACAGTATCAGGCTTTTAAAACATACGTGGAGGCAGAGGAAGACATAGATGCTTTCCTGCAAGATTTTGAAAGACTGTGTACACTGTATAGAATCAGTACAGAGGACTGGGTTCCTATTTTGGCAGGACGTTTAACTGGGAGGGCAGCAGAGGCGTATCGTACTGTACCAGACGAAGAAATCAAGAATTACAGTAGAGTGAAAGAGATTATACTGGCCCGGTATGCCACAACACCAGAGGCATACCAGAGGAGATTTCATTATAAACGGGAATGCCCACAACTGCGGGATCGTTCCACCTGGATCCGACCAGGCCCGCCACCACCACCAAGATCAGCCACAGCACGCTGCTACCAGGACATAATTGCAACACCATATGGTTCAGCAGTGCCCATTACCACCGTGGAACAGTGGGAAGTATTGCACGAAGCCGATCCAGTACAGGCCAATGCTGATAATCGTCAGCACCATAGACAAACTGTATACTTGGAGGGTAAAGCGGTCCAAGGACTACGTGACTCAGGAGCTACTATAACCCTGGTAAAAAGTCATCTGGTCTCGGATCAGGCTAAGCTCAGCAAAACTGTGGCCGTCAGGGTAGCCAGGGGAGCAGTGTACCGGCTACCTACAGCAAGGGTACATTTGCATTGGGGAGCGGGGTCAGGACCAGGGCCGTCTTTAACGCAGGGCAAAAGGGGCAGCTGCCCCCGCAAACTATGGGGGCCCATCGGGTGGCCCATGCACTTAGGGCCACCCGGTGGGCCTGTGTGAGCAGGGGCCCGGTCAGGCACTGTGGCGCTTTAACAGCGCGACCGGGCCCTTGCTTTTTCGGCAGCACTGGGAGGAAGTGACAGCCGCGCATCACTTCCTCCCACAGAAACAAGAGCCGTGGGAGGAAGGAGCTGTTCCGGAGGGGGCCAGCCCGGGTGAGCTTAACTCCCAGCCACCCCAGCCAGCCCACTGGACCCCAGGGAAGCCACCCTCCAGGAAAAGGTAAGAAACTGGAGGGTGGTTATCAAATTTTGCATGAGTGTCTGTGTGTGTGTGTGTGTGAGTATGTATGTATGTCTGTCTGTCAGT